ATGGGCAGTCAGGGCTTAACCCCCGTGGTATTTTAGTTTGTTCTTAAATTGTTTTTTAATGTTTATTTTTGAGAGAGACAGAGCGTGAGCAGGGGAGGGGCAGAGAGGAGAGGGAGGGAGACACAGAATCTGAAGCAGGCTCCAGGCTCCGAGCTGTCAGCACAGAGCCCGACGCGGGGGGGCACGAACCCACGGACCGCAGGATCATGACCTGCGCCAAAGTTGGATGCTCGACCGACAGAGCCACTCAGGCGCCCCTATTTCATTTATTTTTAAATGTTTATCTTCAGAGAGAGAGGCCCAAGCAGGCTCCACACCATCAGCACGGAGCCCGATGCTAGGCTTGATCCCATAACCGTGCGATCATGACCTGAGCGGAAATCCAGAGTCGGACGCTCAACCCACTGAGCCACTTAGGCGGCCCAGCCCGCTGTAGCATTTTAGATTAGCACGTGGGGCTGGATTCCCTTGCTGGCTGGAATAGGCAGTCGATTCATTTATTAAATATCCGTCAGCGTCTCTGTACCAGGCTCTGTGCCGAGTGGGAAAACACATAGGTGAATATGACGGACCGTGGTCTCGCCCCTCACCGGCCCGCCGGCTGAAGCGGGGAGGAGGGGAGCGGGTTTGCGGCCGGAGGTGGAGTGGCCAGGATGTGGTGACGCCTCATCTGTGAAGGCTTCCGCTGAGACTCTGGGGTGAGAGTGCAGGAAGGGGGCCTGTGCTGCTCTGTCTTGCAGGATATAAGGAGCCCTGTCACTTGTCAGCAGCTCTGTGTTACGCTTACAGGGTGGAGTGCTGTCTACAAAAATGTCATGTAAAAGTGACAACAGTGGCAAGCACTGTGAACTTTTGTTATTTGCTGGGTACTGTCGTAAGGACTTCGAACACGTTCTTTCATCTTCTCCCATGAGAAACGGGCACCGTCGGCATCCCTGCCTTCTGCAGGTGAGAAGACGGAGCCCTGAGAGGCCTGCTAGGTGGTGGGAGGGCTGGAGGGCGCAGTAGGGAGCCCGACCCGCCGGTACTGCCCTCCGCCCGGCCGGCCTCTATTAGTTAGCGCCTTTCCGAGAGAGACCAGCTGGAAGGTGGACTAAAGTTCTGGCTCAGTACGACTGATGAAGAAAGAATCTGGGGGGCCTCGTTCGATATCGCCAACATTTGAGCGCCCGTGTCTGTCGGAGGTTACGCCGCAAGCACGTGGCTAATTGGTGGAAGAAAAGGTCTGGGAAGAGATGAACGTCACGATATTAAGATTCCAAAGGGGCAAGACTTAGGATTCCGCTGTATTTTCAGTTTAATACCACAAGTGTCTTTAGAATATGAACATTTAAAATAATCTCCCAGGAACGTACCTAGTTCTCAGGCAGCTTGAAATTTTTATTGAAAACTAAGCACATCAGTTTCTCTTTGAGTTCATTCTCGCGATTCAGTCACTTTCCTTTTACAAATGGATGAACGGGGTTGAGAATACTTTCCCCATCTCAACTCGTGGCAAAGTCAAAATCGCAGGTTAGCAGACCTTCCGCTCGTATAACGGGGGGGGGGGGGGGGGGTTCGCCAGTCTGCTTTTCCAGTTACGTTTTGCCTTATCTGTAATGAGAAAAGCTGTCCTCTGGAGGACTTGAAATGAACTCTCTAACGGAAGGAGGAGAGGCTGTGCAGAGCCTCGTTGGGCTGCCGCATGTGCGGCACTGCTGGGAGCCGCTGCAGCAGCGGGGGACAGCCGTGGGGCAGTAAGACACAGTCATGGAATTTATTGCTTGTGACTGGTTTCCGAAGAAACCGAGTGCTTTCCAGCTGTCAGTAAGCCTGGCATGACGTGAGCCCAGTGAGAAAAGTGGCAGTAAGTATCAGGGCTTCGCAAACGAAGTAACGGAGACAGCCACGTTTGTGGGACAGAAAAGTCAGGAACCTCTCTCCTCTTCTCCTGGTTGTGAGTAAAATCAGGACGGAAGGCGAGGAGAAGTGGTCGCTGGTCTCCACGCAGCCGGGTGAGGGACGCCAGCTTCAGAAGCAGTCCCCCGAGGCTTCCTCCTGTATCTGGGCCGCGTCCGGCCTTCGAGGAGTGGATGACGCAGAAGTAGACGCTGGGGGACCGGGTCCTGCGGTCACTCGCTGGGATGGGGTGGCAGTGGGCTTGCCTGATGTAGGAGAGGGCAGTGCTCTCTGGGAGAGGTTCCGAACACTGGCCAGCTGAGACTTGGCTTTACCCGTGCTGGGACTGGTGACACAGTTCTGAGTTCAGAGAAAGTTCTCACAGTGAGTGCTGCTGCTTTCCAGCTATGAACTCAACACGGGACTCAGGGCTAAGGGGAAGGAGCCCCAGAGGACGCCCCACTTTCTCAGAAAGTACACTGTATTCTTTCTGTCCTTTCTGACACTGGCTCCCTGTGTCTGTGCTTTTTTGGTCAGCTTGTTAACCTAGGAGTGACTGACACAGCCAGTGAGTTAGGGGCCCAGATGTTTGCTGACCTTAGTTCAGGATGAAAGCCTGTCAACGATCAGTGGTGTAATACTTCCAACCTCGGTTATAACTTAGCACGCTCTTCCTTTTTTTTTTTTTTTTTTTTTT